AAATGACCATCGGTCATATGACCAAATGACAAAAGGTCATATTTTAAGCTAAATGACAAGGTCATGTGCCAACACTGGATTATGTAGATCTTTAATCGCGTTCGCATATTCACGTGATTGATACCCGAACTTAACACCACCAAAAAAACTGATTTAACGGTATCAACAAGTAATTTTGATTTTGTATTAATTTTTGACTCTTGCTGATCCTGTCCAATGTTTTTTTCCGTATCTGTCAACAATTTTGTATTTTTATCATTTGTAAAACCGTCATCATTACTATCAAGTTGCTGCAAATTTTCATCCAATTCATCCTCATTTACGTTTGTAACATAAAATTTCACAGTAAACTCAACGTTAACCTCAAAATTGTTTGGATTAGCTATGGTCAAACATTGAATATCATCTTGAACAAGTTTATTAGTCCTTGAGCAAGACCTTACAGGTTCAAGACAATGCATTAAAGGTTCAACATAAATCTGATCAATCTGAGAATTATTGGCAAGATTTTCCATTTGTGATTTTGACAGAACATAGGATAGAATTCCACCGGAAGGTAATTTATTTATAATTGGAATTGACATTCTTGAAGCATTTCCAAAAATTGTACGTGTCCTTACTTTTGAACTGTCAATTACTGCAACATCATATGCTAAGTAAGAAGAAAATGTATAATTATATAAGATACGATAACTAACAAAAAAAAAAACAACAACAAAGGATTTGCTTGCTTACACATATGATTCGTTCATTCTTCACTACACATATGTATATATAGTCCACCCAGCGGGAATAGAAGAAGAACCAACGTACAGATAAGACTAATTATTTTAAAGAATAAATTTTATTTTTATTTATATTATTTTTTTTTTTAATAAAAAAAAAATAATATAGTATAATTACCTTTGACATTTCTTCCAAATCCTCAGAAAATGAAACATGCGGAGTCCCATACCAAAGCTATTTAGAAAATGGTAAATGACGTGACTTCATTCATTTCATCCTTTTTTTAAATAAAAAATTTACCTGGAATGAAATCAATAATATCACACAATAAGCGAAACAGTAATCACATGCTCTATCGGATATAACCATTTTTTTTAAAAAAATAAATAAGTCAGTCTGGCCATTTATTGCCCATAGAAAAGAAAAGAAAAGAAAAAAAGAAAGAAAGAACTTGTTCAGTTTCTGAATTAATACTTTTAAATACCTTAGATTTTTTTTTAATTAAACATTACTTTTAAAGAATTTCAATAAATTTCTCGAAAAAGGAACACCCGTGTGGTGGATTCGAAAAGGTTTCGAAATTCATGCAGTGACATATGTAACCAAAAGTATCTATAATTAATAAACTTACTGAATTCTTTAATTGATACATGTATCATCCAAATTATTATAAAAATATTACGAACATTATTTTAATATTTCATAATACGTAGAAATATTACAAGGATTGATCTGCAATAAAATTATATGATGCTCAGTTTAACTTTGAAGTCTGAATAATTTAAAATTTTTTTTTTTTAAAATAAAAAAAAGAATATATATATATATATATATTTTTTTATTTTAAATTTTGATACTAAGTAGATTTTATATTTTATTGATACTAAAAGTTTAATCAATTAAATAACTTTATATAATATTTAAATTTAAATATTTATAATTTATATAAACTATAAATGGTTTAAATTAACTCATTATATTTAAATTATATTTTATATACGTTTTTTACTTATTTACTAGTTATTATTACCTATTAATTAGTATATTATTATTTACTTCTTCTTATATTTTTTATGTTAATAATCTTTTAACTTAATTTAACTATCTTTTAGTATTTTCTTATAACAATAGTTTTTTAGTTATATTATAGAATTCATTAAAATAATGATTGCATTATTTTTATAATTATTAATAATTAAAATTATGATAATAAACTTAATTTACAAAGTTTTATTAAAAAAAATTCAAAATTTTGCTAATAAAATATGATTTTTTATTAATAAATAAAAGAATTTCAAATATATTCTAATAAGTCAAATTGAATCAAATCAAAAACTTAATTCTTAAAGTATTTTTTATTAAATTATATTATAAAATTACAATTATATAAATAAAATATAAATTTATATAAATTATTTTTCAAGGTTTATATATCTTAAAAATCATATTTATAAAAATTTTTAAGCATACTATTAAACATATTTTAAGTATAATTTATAAAGTTTTTTAAGAATATAAACTAATTCAATTATGTTTTTTTTATATTAGTACTTATATATATACTTTAGCGTAAATTGATAAATTATTAATTAAATTATATTTTAACAAACGAATTGTATTTTAATAATTTTAATAGACATAATTATTTTATTAATAATTTATAATTAATGTTAAATTGACATAATTAATTTTAACATCATCAAAATTAATTAGCAGTAAAATATACTTATATATCTATTTGTATTTAAAAAATATTTTTATTATTACAGTGTAGAACACTTAAAGACTTCAATAAATTTAACAATTTTTAAAAAGTTATAAAAAATGATACAGATACAATATTAAAAAAAGAAAGTCACTATTTTGAAGCTAAATTAATTTATTATAAATTGCCAGCCTCTTTTTTTTAAAAAATAATTACTCATTTCTGACTTATATCAATTTAAAAATGCCTTCTTTTCATATGATCAGTATCCCAGTGGAACAATCACGTGATTTGAAATTAGCCAATCAAATCACAAGTAAAATCCTATTGGTTAATAAAACCAATATTAACAGATATTCGAGATGAAAAATTATTCATCCATTACTAAAAATGCCACAGAGAAAAAAAATTTTACCTGACTTTAAGAATACAATAAGAGAAGACAATATTCTCTTATTGAAAAAGAAAAAACTGAGATTAGCAAAAAGTATACAGAATCTATTAAAAGGAAAGACAAAGAAATTGAAAAGGAAGAAGAGTTATAAATGTGTTCATCTGCAGTAGGACTCATATGGAACAAACCTGAAAAAAATGAAAAAACAATAAAAGGAATATCAAAAACTACATATTATCGTAAGTTTAGTATTTCTGGTATGCTTGCCAATACTTCTAAGGGAACACCTAAAATTATTAGTTTTTAGAGTAGCGATAAGTCTGGTGATGGTTCTTTTGTATCATCCAAATTTTCAGTATCTTCAAATAAATATGTCAGTAAGTTTGTTGGCAATTCTACTTTATCTCTTTATCCATCTTCACCTTTATCTCCTTTTCCATCTCCTTTTTTATCACTATCATCATCATAATCACTATTATCATTACCTTCTTTTCCATTGTTGGCATTATCTGGGTCTCTATCAAAAACAAATGAGAATTTGATACTTTGTGAAAGGATTACACAACTTCGAGACAACCTTCTTAAAAATAGAAAAATACTTACAGTCTTTGAATATAACAGATAGCGTGCTATTTATGAATATCTCACACAGCTAAATAATAGCTGTGAAAAATAAAAGCTAATGAAGAAGCAATGCAAATAGTTTATATTAACTTAAAGTCATACACTGCTAAATGGATTTGTTCTTTAGTCAAATTTTACTTGAATTACCAATCATTTCCAGTTTCATATCGTGGTAAACATCAAAAATATCATCGACTTGTTGATGATAAAGATGTTACATTGAGTTTGTGACAATAGTTACGACAAGAATCAGGTTCAAATGGTATTGATGTAGCTCATTTTAAGCAGTATATTAAAGATATTATTTTGCCTGAACATACAGGAACGTAGAAAATAATCAGTATGAGAACTGCTGAAAGATAGTTGCATATCTTAAGATACTGATATAAAGGATATCGAAAGGATATTTATCTTGATGGATATGAGCGAGAAGATGTTGTTATATATCAGAAAGAATTTTTGAAAATAATGAAAGAATTAGAACAACAAATGGCAAGGTATGAAGGAGAAGAAATGGAAGCAATTCCACTGGTACTTAGATTAGGAGAACAAGAGCTAATTCTCATTACTCATGATGAAAGTATCTTCTATACAAATGATGAAAAAAAAAAATTTGGGTAGCTAATAGTGAAATGCCATTGCGAAAGAAAAAAACGGAAAATCAATTATGGTAAGCGAATTTCTTTCAGAGGCTTGTGATCAATTGAAACTTAGTGAAGAAGAGGCAGTAAGAAACCCAAATATTCCTACAGAAACTCATTGTTATCTTTTACCTGACAAGAATCAGAAAGGCTATTAGACCTTTGAGCATTTGTTAGAGCAGATTAAATCTAAAGCAATTCTTATTTTTGAGGCTAAATTTTTTAATGCAACAGCCATTTTTGCCTTTGACAATAGTACAAACTATGCAGCATATGTCAAAGATGCTCTTATTGCAGCAAGGATGAATTTGGATTCTGGGAGAAAACAGCTGATCATGAGGTCAACCTCTTTTATTGATAAGGATAGACAAGAGATAATTCAACAAATGATATTTTCAGAAGATTATTCTGATCTTGCTTTGCGAGGAAAACCAAAAGGGATAAAAGGATATTACAAGAAAGAGGTTTATGGAAGGAGTGACTAAGTTTAGAGTGTTTAATGTGTAAAAAGAAAGAATCTCAGAGAGTTAATTATTGTGCAAGAAAGATTATGGCATCTCAACTAGATTTTGTAACACAAAAGTTAGCTATTGTAAAAGTAATTAAGAATGCAGGCCATTTATGTGTTTTTTATCTGAAGTTTCATTGTGAACTTAATTTCGTCAAAATGTACTGGGGTGCAGCCAAGTATTATATAAGGGATCACTGTGATTACACATAGAGTGGCTTACAAGAAACTGTTTCACAAGCGCTTGATTCAGTGAATATTATTACAATTAGAAAGTATGCTCAAAAATCATGGAGATACATACAATTGTATTGTGAGGGACTAACGAGAAAGTTAGCTAAGTATACATATAAACAATTTAAATTACATAGGTGAATTTCACAAGATGATTTAACTATATTTATAAAAAAAAAAGTTGTGAGAAAGGGTAATAAAATAGGAAAATAATTTTTAATTTGTAGCATTAAATCAATAAATTTATCAATTATGCATTAAATTTAAAAACTTAATCAATTAAATTTATCAATAAATTATGCATTAAATTTATTAATATATCATGTATTAAACTTAATCAATTAATACAGTATTTAAATTTATTTTACTACTATTTCACTTATTATGTGATATAATTATACCAATCACGTGATTTTTAGGAATTTTGAAAATGAGACAAATCACAAGATTTCAGTCTTTAAGTGTCCTGCACTATAGAAATACAATTTGGTTTATAATGCATTATAATATAAAATATGATTTTTATAGTAGTAAATATAAACAAATTAATATATCAATTTTTTAATTTTGTGTTTATTAATACAATTTTTAATTTTATGATAACTAACACAGTTTCTAATTTTTATAATTAAATTCAAGTGTTTATCAATGATCAAAGACTTAAACTTTTTTTTTGAGCGATCCTACGAATAGGATTAATGTATTATTATTTGCATTACATTTAACTAGTACAGCATCATAATAAGCCAATATGATATTTCCTGTGATTAAGGTTAAATCATGCCATATTAATTGATTCTGAGTGTTAAACGAAATGGATAGATCAAGGTAAATAATTTTTTTTCCAAATATGTAGTAAAAGTTATACAGAGGTATGGTATTTTTAGACAAAATTGATATGCTTATCAATGATGTTATTTTATGATGATATATTACATTTTAAAATTAATAAAAAATACATAAAACAAGAATGAATAACTTATTCTATGCATTATCCTTTTACTAAAAAAAAAATCAAATTTTTAAATAATAATCCAAAAATGAGCGACAGTCAAGACAATTTTACTCTCAATACATCCTCTTTAAAATATCCACCAGTTAGAAAATCAAAATGTTTGAATAAAGATGTAATTGTATTTGTATTATTTTTGTTATTTATGTTATATACATTTATTTAATTTTATTAACATTTATATACTATAATTTTCTAGATATTAGAAGATAGTATAAGATAATTTTACTTTATTTTATTCAATACTAATAATAATAAGCATCTGAAGATAACATGAAAGTAACTTTACCAATATTAAAAAAGACTTATATCAAAAATATCAATTTGTTTTTTAATAATAAATTGACATTTCTTGTTGCTGATGAACCTACCACTATTTTTATATTCACTAAACCTACCATTATCTCTACATCTACTAAACTTACTACCATTTTCATATCCACCAAACCTACTACCATTTTCATACCTACCAAACCTACCATCATCTCCACATTTACCAAACTCACTGTTATTACTAAGAAGCCTAACATCAAGCCTAATACTACTATCACACCTAATATTACCATCAATATTATCAAAAAATCAATACCTTATAAATCAATAATGATAAGTTTTATTATTTCATTTAATACTCTTATCGTTATATTAAATTGAATTTAATGTATTTATTATATTTTTATATCAGCCAATGAAAACGCCATTGGTTAGCACTTCAGCATTACAAATGAAAATACTATCAATTAATATTTTATCATTATTGTTATCGCAGAGCAAAAAAAGTGCTGAAGGTTTGAGTTTATATTACATACTATAAACGTATTTATTATATGATGTTTATTAATATGTATATATTTATTATAATTAACTACCATTAATTCGCGTACTTTGGATAAGGTATTGCATTTCTACTAAAAAAATAGTATTAAGCTTAACCAAATTTCAAAAAGTCAAGAGGATTTGGAGGTGATGCTTATTAAGCAAAAGAATAAAATTGATGAGATTTTTTTAAGATTTGAGAAGCAACAAGTCAATGCAAAGGTTAGAATCATTAAAAATAGTGATAAAGATAAAGGAAAGAAAAATAGAAGCGAGTTTTATCAAGTAAATATACATATGTTTTATTAATATTTCTTTTGTTTACTCTATCTTTATTTAATTATTAATTTAATTTATATTATAGAAAGCAATTTGAAAATTGTCTTATAAGTTATTTCACGAATACAAACAACTAACAGATGATAAACTCAAAGCATGCCTAAAAATAAAATTAGATAATGATGAATATTGCGCAAATCAACTTCAAAAGCTGAAAGATAACAACATTAGCTATGACAATTTATGGAATGAAAAGCTATATTCAACTGTTAGTATTTTTATTTACAATTTTAATTTATATTTTTAGTTGTTATATTTTATGTTGTTTATTAATTAATAATTTATTTGAATAAACTAAGCTAGTTGCTTAGGGTGAATCATATCAAGAAGGGGTACTATATTCGTCATGTAAAAGAAAATATATAGTTTGTCTTCAGGTTTAACAGGATTATGCCCTTTGGAAATAACTGGTCTAAGGAGTAAATAAAAGATTAGAAGACAAGCAAAGAGGTAAAAGCAGTATATGATGATCTATATTACTTAAGTAATCCAGATGACCTATTATCAAATACATATGTCGCATTGATTATCAAGTCTGCTTTTATATCCAATAAGAAACTAATGTAAGAAAATGCTGTTTGGACTCAATCAGTGCTTGAAACAATTTTTGATGTTAAATATCTCTCGACGAAAATTGATACCGAGGTGATTGAGTTGTGGAAAGATATTATTGAACGTAATAAACAAGTAACATTATAAACATTTATTACTTTATAAACTTTATTTCTTATAATATTATTAAATACTTTACCTTTAATTAGGATAATGAGAATGAGCAGTACGAGAAGAAAAAAGAAGTACAGGATAGCCTGCAACATAGTGAATATACTTTCACTGATAAAGAATTATACAATCTTTATTAAAGCCTAGAAAATGATGCGAATTTTATGGATTAAATGTATTTTATGCCTTTAATTATAAATTAATCAATTTTACTTTATGATGTATTGAAATACATATGCATTTTAGCATAAAAATTTATAATAAAAATTACCATAAATTACAGTGATTGCTATTGTATTTTTGCATCAAGTAATGCATTAATCAACACTATTATACTCATTTTTCAACACCATTGTATGATACCATTGTTTTACTATATGTTGTTTTACATCTAACATATATTAATCAATGCCCTTTTAAACAGCGTTAATTGATATAGGGTTTGTATATCAACACTTTTTGGTGTTAATCAATATATAGCATATATTAACACATTATATACCTGTTTGAAATTTCCTAATGAAAACTACATCTAATAATTGTTTATTCTTTACATTTGTCTAATCATCAAATATAAGTATAACATCTACTGGATTTTTTCTCAATACAATTTCTATTATATTATCTTCTTTGTAAATAGTTTCATTTAAAATTATTTCAACAAGAGTCTTATGATTAAAAAGTTTGAGAAAAGAATTAAAAAACTCAAAAAATTTTCTTGCTTTAGGATTATTAATCCAGTGCAAAACTAATCTACAAAAAATAATTAACCGAATTAATAATGTATAAAATCATTTTGTCTTCTTTTAATATTGATCTAATAATAAAATTATTAAGCAATCTATAAGAAGAACTAATAATAATTTCTCTAGAAGAATCAGAAAAAGTGATGTATCATTAATTTATAAAGTTATAAAAAATTAGTATTAATTTTGAAAAAAATAAAAATATCACTATATAAAAAAGTATTAAAAATTTAAAAACTTACATAATCTTTTATTTTCTAATTATTTTTCATTACTTCTTGACAAAGAAAGTTTTATTTCTTATTTCAAATATTTGCTATGAAAAAATAAGTATATTTTTTCAAATGTTGTATGATTCAACCTGTTTTATTTGAAAAATAATTTTTTTTTTTTATTCTCTCCTAATATATTAATACAATATTTATAATATATCTTAAGATTACTCTGATTGAGTTTTTTCTTACTTTTAAATTTAATCAAAATGATTTTTTAAAAAATAAGATAATCACATAATCATAAAAAATAATCTTTTTTAAAATTTGATCTTTAATCACATAAGATTATCAGATATTTAGACAGAAAGAATTTTTGAGTAAGATATATCTGATGGATTACTAATTAATTTGAATATAATGAGATATAAACTATTGGATAATGTTTTAGAATGTCCTAGTCTAATTTATTCAAGTCAAACATTATCTGATCACATTACTATTTCATAAAATATTTATATTAAAGTTTAAATCAACAATCAATTTTATAATAAGTATATTGTATTCTAAGTTACAATCTATTCTAACTTTAAATTAGGGTAGATTCATTTTACCCAGAACTGAAATTTCAATTTTGAGCAATCTAAATTTAAATTTCAAATAGAGGATTTTAAATTAATGTCCAGATTTATTTATAATAACTATATACTTTAATGATTAATTATAGCTTTTTTTGTTTAACAATACAATATGATACTTTCGCTAAATTTTAATTTTTTCTTTAACCTTTATTTTCACTTCAAGTCTTCTTTTTATTTAAAGTAAAATTTATCTTTTTATTTCATTATTATAGAAAGGAAATTTTCTTTTATAAGCAAAGAAACTTTTAATAAAATTATTAATGAATTTCTTTAAAATAGTAAATCAAAAACTGATGAAAAGCAATTGATAAATAAAAGTTTATATGATAATATAAAAGCAGTTCTCTTAGATGGTAATTCAAAATTATGTAATACAGATTTTCAGTATAAATGTAAAAAAAAGTATAGTTTGTTAGAAATTAGAGAATATGTTATATGTAGAAATCTTAATAACAGAACAGAAGAGATTTAATTAAAGAAGGTAAACCAATTGAAGTATTACCAATATTAATTATAGAAGAAATATATAAAGCAATTAGTTTAAAGCATGTTTAAAATCTTCATTATGGTTAAAAGATTTTATATAGCAAATTATGAAGCAAATAGTTTGAAGTAAAAAAGAAGATTGTAAAGGAATTTGTAAATCATTGTGAAATATGTATTTTATATAGAACTAGGTCTAAATCTACTTTATTAATAAAACTTATAGTTGCAAAAAGTTTACTTTTAAGATTATAGATATTTGAATTATAATATTAATTTATTTGCTGATTTATTAAATTTAATTTATAATTTTTATTAGATAGATTTAATTGATTTACATTAATATTCTGATAATGATTTTAAATACATTTTATATGTAAGAAACTATTTTTTATGATATTCATAGACAAAACTATTAACTTCTAAAGAATCTGTAATTGTTGTAGGAATATTATATAAAATTTTTTGTCAATTTGATCTTTCAGTTATTTTATAAAATGATAATGACAAAAAGTTTACTACTAATATTATTAGTAATTTAATTAAATTATGGTCTGGTTTAAAGATAATAAATAGTAAGCCTAAACATCTACAATTACAAAGTTTTATTGAAAATTCTATTTTAAAGAAAAAAATTGAAATATGGAATAAAATCATCCAACAAATTAAACTATATATTTGAATTATATTATTTTTATTATAAATAATACTATATGTTTAGTTATTAATAAAATACCATAAAATAATATTTGAAATATATCCTTATAATGATAAAATATGGATAGAATATTTATTTGAAGATAAAAATTATATTAATGAAGAGCAATTATTAAATAATATTAGTATTGAATAAAATAATATTTCATATAATCTTAATCAAGTAAGTATAATAAATATTTTATAAATTTAAAAATTATTTCTTAAAATATTTATTAAAATTTAAATTTATATAGAAAGAAGAAGATAATGAATCTAATAATAAATCTACTATAATAAAATATAGGAGTTTGCTATTTATCACTGCTGGTGATGATCACTGGTATCACGTGATCATAATTAGCTAATAGTAAATTAGTATTTGTATCCAATAATAAATCAATGAATTTTAAAATTTTCAATTACATTTATTTTGTATTTACGTAAAACTCGAATATTTATATCCGTTCTAAATCTCGCTAACTTTAAACTAACTAATATTTTGCATCTGCTAAACTAAAAACCTGCTAACTCAAAACCTACTAGATCTATCACGTCAGCTAAGTATTCAGTTACTATTTTCTTTATCGACTGAGTCAGCTTTATATTGCTTGCATCCTCTAATATTATGCCCTTTTTCTAGACAATAACTACAGGTTTTAGATGAAGTTATATATTGAATGTTGTTCTTTTCTGTTGATGATTTATAACACTTTGGAAGACGTCTTTTTGGCTTATGATATTCTGGGTTTGATATTTAGAGAACATTATAATTATCTGTTATGGTAGTAGAGGAAGATTCTTGAGTTTCATTATTCAACTGTGATACATAATGAACCTCTTCTATATTTAAGCCTGTATTTCGACGATATTTAATAATAAATTCTGTAAAAAGTCCAGTCAGTTCCAATGTAATACCCTCTGCCACAGCTATCTGAACACTAGTCTTTGCTACTGATATCAAAGTACCGAATTTGAGCTTTTTGTTGAAATTTTCTCTAACATCTGATGTATAAATGTTAGTAGTCCTCATTTGATTAATATATAGTAATGGATTGGTGATATAAGCTTTAGTTTCTCGAACGATCGTAATATAATTATTTGTTTCAGGTAGCACTGATTCAAATCAATGCGTATGAATAAAGCCATATGAAAAATGGCTTTGTTAGACTGAAGAAGAATTCGATACTGATGTCGATACGGCATCCTTTGGTTAATAATATACATACATGTACAAAGTAATGTCATATCCTTAAGGATCACTACATAATGCGGTTTTGATTTTGAAGATACCACAATATAATTGACCTCCCATATTTCTTGAATTTCTTTGTGATCGATGCTTAACAAAAGTTCTTGTAACCTAATTTGTGGTCTATCATATATATGTTCTACTATACTATTGGATTCATCATCAGATTGTTAATTTGTTCAATAGAAATCAAAGTTCCTTGATATAATAATGCTTGTTTCATTTGGCCTCTCTGAAGTGATAATGGAATGAGTGCTAAAAAATCTTTTAAAACAGAATCGATGTCTTTGAAAATAGTATTATAAGTTGATAGAAGACTAGTTGATGGGTTTGATCCATAATAATCTCTGATTCGACTATATTGCGTTTCTTTATCTAACTCATTTTCTATTACTTCTACTAATTCCCTTAATAGAGTTTCTCAATCCATATGTTTTTTAAGAACTCTATTTAGAGATTCAACATGTTGAGTTGATTCTACTCCTGCTGTAAAAACCTTCACAATAGAATATCTCACCCATGATTTACGACAAGGGTAAAGTTTTTTTTCAAGGTAAGACTGACATTGCTCATATTTTGTAAGCATTTCATTGTATCTTGCTTCAAACTAATGCTGATTATAACTATTTTGAATATGGTAAAAATCCTCAATAAAATTCTTGACCATTTTACCATGCAATTTGGATTTGGCTTTCTTTTTCATATTCTCGACAATATAGTAAATGCATAACAAATAGTGAGTTTCCAGATAAACAACTTGAATAGCTGCTATCATTCCTGGATTACTATCGGTAAATAATATGATTAGTGAAAGGTTATCAGTTACTTCTAGTGTATATTGTAAAATCCAACTATAATCTGCCTGTGTTTCATACTTTGTTAAGGCTTGAGTGAGGACTCTTGTCTTATAATTATTGTCAATACCAACAAACAAGTTAAGCGCCATTTCATAATGATTTGTCTTTGCTGTATTATTATATATGATAACATCACGAAATTTAGGCCAAAGTTCATTACGCTGTTGGCTGATCATCCAGAAAAGTCCAGTAAGTTCATTGGATAATCCTTCTAAACGTGATATAACAATATAATCAAGATCTTGATCGCGCA